TTGTAAGTCGAGGACTATTCAACTGGTGCAGCACCGTTTGCAGAATGGGACTTTTGGCGGGCTCAGCAGGGCAGAGACAGCCTGGACAATTCCTATTGGCTTTTGAAAGCCAATAGAATTAGACTCTATTCAAGAGAGTCTATTCTATTGGCTTTCAAAAGCCAATAGAATAAAAGGGAGTAGCACAGCTAAGGAAAAGGGGGAAAAAATGGCGGACTGCGTTGTTTGGCGACCCCCATGAAATGGTCATTCGACCCCAAATGGGGTCCCGACCCACAGGTTGAGAACCACTGCACTAGACCAAACTGCCTCCATATCTTACTGTATATGCAGGCCCCCAAAGCAATATTAATTATAATGGCTTCTTCACTTTTCAGCCTCTTATCAAATCTGGTGTGTTGCAGCTGTGTTGGCAATTTCAAGGCAGTAGTCTAGACTTCTGGAGATCACTGAGCAGGAGAAGGGTGACCTAAACCAGGGGCCCCCAACCGTGGCCACTTTATGACTTGTGGACTTCAACTCCCAGAATTCCTCAGCCAGCATGACCTCTGACTTAAACCGTAATGCGTAGTGTTTTAATGAATTTCTTCAGTTGAATGTTCAGTAGTACAAAATATTTTATTCTTATAGCCTTGCTAGAGAAATTGGGAGATGGCCATGAGCATAAGCTTCATTTATACAGCAATTCTCAGCTTACCACCACAGTTGTGTCCAAAATTGCTCAACCTAGTTATTACATGAGTTTTGCCCCATTTTGCAACATTTCTTGCAACTTTTCTTGCCACAGTTGTTAAGTTTATCCTTGCAGTTATTAAGTTAGTAACATGGTGGTTAAGTGAATCTGGCTCCCCATTGACTTTGCTTGTCAGGAAGTTAACAAAAGATGATCACATGACCCAGGAGGCTGAAACTATGAGCCAGTTCCCAAGCATCTGAATTTTGATCGAGTGACCATGGAGACACCGCAACGATTGTGGGAAAAATAGTCATAAGTCATTTTTTTTCAGTGCTGTTGTAACTTCAGTCATGGCTGACTACTGAGAATGAAGCCTAATTGAATTATCTGCTCTGTTAACTTACTGTTCCCATTCCATTGCCAGTCTTATTTTAAACACCTGAATTGCTTTCCCTGTTTCCCAGAAAAGTCATCTGAATGACATGAGATTTAAACAGCCCCTCGCAACTTGCATCTGGCCTGTACCTGGCCTCACTTACTCCCCTGCAGCATTGTGTTTCTTGTCTTTGTAAGCCCTTGTCTTACAACAGGGGTCTTCAAACTTGGCCCTTTTATGTCTTGTGGACTTCCAAGTCCCAGAATTCCTCAGTCAGCGTGCCTGGCTGAGGAATTCTGGGAATTGAAGTCCACAAGACATAAAAGGGCCAAGTTTGAAGACCCCTGTCTTATAACCACAACTAAGCCCAAAATTTCTATTGCCAAGCAAGACAGTTAAGTGAGTTTTGTTTGTGTTTATGACCTGTTTTATGCAATTGTTTAGTACCTTGGTTAAGTAAATTTGGCCTTTCCATTGACTTTGCTTGTCGGAAGGTCACAAAAGGTGATCACATGATCCTAGGACACTGCAACATAAATATGAGCCAGTTGTCAAGCGTCTGATCACATGACCCTGGAGATGTGATGGTCATGAAGTGTGAAAATGGTCATAAGACACTTTTTTCAGTGCCATTGTAACTTCAAACGATCATGAAATGAAAGGTTGCAAGTTGAAGCCTAAACTATAGTTCAGGACCATGGATAAAGCCATTTCTTCAAAATGCTTATAAACATGTGGAGTAATGATTGTTACTGAAATGTAGTATACACCTTGAACAGTTTATTTGATACAAGAATTAAGCTCTAGGCATTTATTGGGTTGCCTGAATAAGAAGGGTTTAGATATAGGTTTGTTGAAGATAAATATGAATTACAACATCTCTATAACACCAGGAAGTAGGCTGTGGTATTAAACAATATATTTTAGATCCTTTGATCCTTGTCTCTGTGATACGGGATTGACTACATGTATCTTCCAGATGCTGGCATTGGGCAATCAAGTTGGCAAACTCTATGTATGGGACTTAGAAGTAGAAGATCCACATAAAGCCAAGTAAGTATATATAAATGTTTGGTATTGTTCCAATTCTTGTAAGCATTGAAGCTTGCATGTATACTTCTTAAATTGTAATGTTTAAAATTGTAGTTGGAAATATTGTATGCCTTTTGACAATTAAGGGAGATACCACTATAAAATAACTGGGATACAGGAACCCACATGCATCCCTTAATCATTTATGTATGATCACCCTTTTATTTCTGATTGAGAATATACAATAAGCCCTCAGTGTAATTAACTGATGGAGGGAAAGAGTGTCTCTTAAAACAGATATCCATTAAATCTAAATACAACTTCACACACGCAATGCATTTTATGCATATGTAAAATGGGAATGGAATTTTGTCCATGTGGATTTTTCATCTTTTATATGTGCTTAAAACAGGGATTAGGCTTTATAAATCCATGGGAATATACAATATATTGACCCATTTTGACTATTGCATCTGAATTTCTAAACAAGTATTTGATAGATAAAAATCAGCACATAAGGATTTCCAGAACCTGAACCTTTATAGATTTATCTGATGTAAGCCTTTCAGAGTCATTTACCTTTATCACAATTCCAAAAATTGAAGCCTAGATTACAGCATATATGCAACAACATGGTAAAAGTATTTTTCCCCCTTCTTTCTTGCATCAGCTTTTTTTTAGCCTGGAGAAATACTTCTTTTTGGATTAATCCATGTTTTTAATCTGACGTTATTAAACCAAGATCCAATTTTTCAAATTCATTAGATTTTGATTTATTTTATGTGTAGGCATAGTATTCAGTGAGGTCGTGGGAAGATGGCCTGTAGTGGCGCATCAGTTAGAATGCAGAACTGCAGGCTACTTCTGCTGACTGCTGGTGCCAGCAGTTTGAGTTTCACTGGCTCAAGATTGACTCAATCTTCCATCTTTCTGAGGACCCAGATTGTTGGGGGGCACTATACTGACTCTGTAAATCACTTAGAGAGGGCTGTAAAGCACCGTGAAGCAGTATATAAGTCTAAGTCAGTGTTTCTCAACCTTGACAATTTTAAGGCATGTGGACTTCAACTCCCAGAATTCCACAGCCAGCATTGCTGGCGGTGGAATTCTGGGAGTTGAAGTCCATATGCCTTAAAATTGTCAAGGTTGAGAAACACTGGTCTAAGTGCTATTGCTATTAAAATGAAGTTTAAAAAATTTAGCTTCTTTCTTGTGTTGTTCCAGATGCTTGCTTTCTTGCAAGGAGACTTAACACTTAAATTTCTTTTAATAGGTGCACAACTCTTACTCATCCCAAGTGTGCTGCTGCTATTCGACAAACCAGCTTTAGCAGAGACAGTAGTATCCTTATTGCTGTGTGTGATGATGCCAGCATCTGGCGCTGGGACAGACTTCGATAAATTACGGATTCCTGAGACTTATACTGCTTTTTTGCCATAACTTCTCACCTGCTGATCCTCTAAACCGCTTTCAGAGTAATCTTTCTTTCCTTCTGTCAACAGCTGAACTTAGAGATGTTTACATTTGATTTGATAGCATTGTCTTTTTTAAAAAATACTGCTTTTTTAAATAAAAAAATATTTTTGTACATTTAAAAAAATTATTTTACTTTTGGTGTTTGAAAGCTGGAGAACTTCCTCTGTATTAAATAGATATTTGCTATTTTGTATGTTTGTGAGCTAAAAGACAAACAGATAAAAGTTTGTGCATTTGAGAGAGACAGATTTGATAAGATAAAGCAGTGGTTCTCAACCTGTGGGTCGGGACCCCATTTGGGGTCGAACGACCATTTCATGGGGGTCGCCAAACAAGGCTGTCCGCCATTTTTTCCCCTTTTCTTTGGCCATGCCCCTGGCACATGGTGATGTATAAATGGTTGGGGGTCACGACAACATGGGAAACTGTATTATGGGGTCACGGCATTAGAAAGGTTGAGAACCACTGAGATAAAGAATGTTATTTTATGTAGGATTCTGTTTTCTTCGAATATGGGCTTCGTTATTTTCAAGTAGCTAGTTTTTAACAATGAAAACCTGCTTGAAAGCATTGTGTATCTCAGTGTTTCCCAAACTTGACAATTTTAAGGCATGTGGACTTCAACTCCCAGAATTCCACAGCCAGCGTTGCTGGCTGTGGAATTCTGGGAGTTGAAGTCCTCATGCTTTAAAATTGTCAAGTTTGGGAAACACTGGTGTATCTGAAAAGTCAGGTATTGTGATTGAATCAGGCTTACCATAATTCAAGCAAGGTTCCACTCATGCCTTTTTCCCTTTATTACTAGTACTATTTTTTTTTTTAAAAAAGTATATAAATTAGCCTACAATGTATACAGGTACCAGCATTTAGCTCTCTTTTGTAGGAATGAATGTTAAGGATACAGGCTTATTTTAATGTGAATTGGCATATAGAAACAGCTGATTGGAGTGGTCAGTTTTATTTTACTCCTCTCCTGTAGCCCCTCCTTTCATTCCATTCCCCCCCTCCCCCTAGTTTAGTTTTTCTGAAAATTGTGCATTCAGTCAAAAATTATTAGGAAGCAGGGATAAGGACTTTACAGAAATGCAACGTATTTATGAAAGCAACTTAAAATGTTTTAAAGCAGTGGTTCTCAACCTGTGGGTCGGGACTCCATTTGGGGTCGAACGACCATTTCACAGGGGTTGCCAAATAACGCAGTCCGCCATTTTTCCCCCCTTTTCCTTAGCTGTGCTACTCCCTTTTATTCTATTGGCTTTTGAAAGCGAATAGAATAGACTCTCTTGAATAGAGTCTAATTCTATTGGCTTCCAAAAGCCAATAGGAATTGTCCAGGCTGTCTCTGCCTTGCTGAGCCCGCCAAAAGTCCCATTCTGCAAACGGTGCTGCACCTGTTGAGTAGTCCTCGACTTACGACCGGTTGAGTAGTCCTCGACTTACGACCGGTTGGGGGTCGCGGCATTAAAAAGGTTGAGAACCACTGTTTTAAAGCTTCCATGTGAACCTGAAAGAAAAGATCTAGCTGTGTTACGGTAGTGGTTGCACTACGGAATCAATGTCTCAATATATTTGAGAAGATACCCAAAATAAGAGGTACACTTCTATTTTCTATATATTTATATTCTATTTTGAGCAAATCAATGTAATATATACAACGCTTATTATTCCAACTTCCTTCCCCTCTCTCCCAGCAACAACCCTATAAGATTGATTGGGCTGAGAGAGAGATGTTACACATACATGTAAGATAAACTACTTGCCAGGAAGAAAATGTGAATGTGTGTAATTTGGCAATTAAATAAAAATTGGAATAGTGTGTATAATTTTTAATCTTAAAATTGCTCGTTTTGAACAACCTGTAGTCACATCCATTTTTCTTTACTTTTTTTGCTGTGGGTAAAGCAGAACAAGCAGTGTAAACCAGCTGCTCGGTTAGCCCAGGTATATAAGAACATTAATTCATTAAAATATTTTTAGCTTGTTTAAATTGGGATTTGAAAAAGGCTGCAATTTTTAGGTTTTAGGGTAATCTTGTCTAATACATTAAGTACAAGTAGTCCTTGACTTACGACAAGGCTCTTCAAACTTGTCCCTTTTATGACTTGTGGACTTCAACTCCCAGAATTCCTCAGCCAACATGCCTGGCTGAGGAATTCTGGGAATTGAAGTCCACAAGTCATAAAAGGGCCAAGTTTTAAGACTCCTGACTTAATGACCACAGTTGAGCCCAAAATTTCCATTAATAAGCAAGACAATTGTTAGGTGAGTTTTGCCTCATTTTATGACCTTTCTCACTACAGTTGTGAAGGAAGCTAGCCCAGAGAAAGAAATATTAAAAGGGCAGAAAAATATATTTTTCCTCAAAAGGACTTTTTAAAACCAAACCTGGCCTCAAATCTATCTCTCTGCCCCAAGCAAGACTTTAGCCTCATATAAATGCAGATGTAAAACCATCAGAGAATTGAAGCCAGAGCAGTCAAGAAGACAAAGAAAATCTGCATACCCCACCCAAATTCATTAGCCCCATCACCTGGGAAGCAGGATATGATAATAGGATTAAACCACAGATATCAAGGCCTAGACCAGTGGTTCTCAATCTGTGGGTCGGGACCCCATTTGGGGTCGAACGACCGTTTCACGGGGGTCGCCAAACAATACAGTCCGCCATTTTTTCCCCCTTTTCCTTAGCTGTGCTACTCCCTTTTATTCTATTGGCTTTTGAAAGCCAATAGAATAGACTCTCTTGAATAGAGTCTAATTCTATTGGCTTTCAAAAGCCAATAGGAATTGTCCAGGCTGTCTCTGCCCTGCTGAGCCCGCCAAAAGTCCCATTCTGCAAACGGTGCAGCACCAGTTGAGTAATCCTCGACTTACAACCGGTTGAGTAGTCCTCGACTTACGACCGGTTCGGGGTCGCGGCATTAAAAAAGAACCACTGGCCTAGACAAACACTCAGAAACAGCCTCAAGGTTCATGCCACGGGAACAGGAAACTTCCAAACAAGGCTAGAGAGGGTATAAAAAGCCTACTGCCCATGTGCTCTCTCTCTTTCCTCTGCTCCTTCCTGCCAGGACCATCTTTCTGCTTCTTCAATAAACTGTAACCTTCCCAAAGCAGTCTCCATGTTGCCTATTTATTCCTGGCTTGGATGAACCAGGATGAAGACTTACTTCTGACAGTTGTTAAGCAAATCACTGTAGTGATTAAGTGAATCATGTGGTCATTAAGGGAATCTGGCTTCCCTCATTGACTTTGCTTGTTGTGGGATCATGTGATCACCATTTGTAACCTTACAACAGTGTAACTCATAAATACATGCCAGTTGCCAAGTGCCTGAATTTTAGTCATGTGACTATGGGGATGCTGCAATGGCAGTAAGTGAAAACCCATAAGAAGTCACTTTTTCAGTGTCCTTGTAAGTTCAAATGGTCACTAAATGAATGGTTGTAAGTCAAGGACTACCATAGATATGCTGTTTTTACCCAAGACCTACCTTTTCATTTTGCTTCAGGGAGAATGAACAAATGACAAAAATTGGATCAATAGGCCTGCTCTTTGACAGCCTGGAGAACTATTATAGGGACAGGGAAAAAATAGTAAATGCGGAGACTTCCACTCTTGATGCTTTTTGTGCAACCGAAGAATTCTGTGAAATTGGAAAGCTTGCACACTCCCCTGGCAATAGAAGGGGATAGCAAGGTTTCTATTTGCAGGGTGAGGATAAAGCTGCAGTCCATAAATTTCTTTTCCGTAAGTCGGAACATAAAAGTAATACAGTGTTTTACAAAAGAACTTCATTTCTTTATCTCCGTGCGCACACGCATCCTCCGCCCTTTCATAGGCTCAAGCCTACATTTCCCAAAGGACTCTTCGGCCTCCGGAGCGGAGATTCCTGTACAAACGAACGGAATTGTCCTGCGCTGCATGCTGGGATATAAAGTCCTTTCTTCGTGTACTTCAACCTACGCTTTCAATAGTTTTCTCCTTCCGCCTGCCCCGGATGTACTTTCTTGGGGCGGGGTGGAGTGGGGGCGTCACGGAGGGGCATTGGGGTGTTCGTTCGGGCCGCGTGTAGGTGTCTAGAAAGGCCACCTCGGAGGACCAAGCCGGGGTGCTGGCGCCGCCGCCGCCGCCATGTTTGGTTGCTTGGTTGCGGGGAGGCTGGTGAGTGGCTCCCGCCTGTGGCCGCGGGGGATGGAGTGGGCGGGCTCCTCGGCCTGGATCTCCATGGAAACGAAGGGGAGGGGGAGAGAAGGAGAAGAAGAAGAAGAGGTGACCATGGAAACGAGAGGGCCAGCTGGCCCTTTGGGTTTTCTATGGTGAACGATGCGCGGGGCGACTCTAAGCACCGCCTCTTGCGGTTTTGGACTCGATGGGATGACGAGGCGCCGATCCGATGTCTTGAAACTACAACTCCCATCACCCCTTGGGCAGCAGAGGCTGTTGTGGGGTTGGTAGGAGCTGTAGTCCCAATGCATCAGTTGGTGCCTGAGAGGGAAAGACTAGGCAGGGTCTGAAGTGATGTGCAACGTGTGACGGGAGTTTACAAACTTAACATTGCATTTATGGAAGTTTTCAACAGGACTTATGCCTTCCTTAACTGGGTGTGATTAAAAAAAAAGCTCAAAAGATGCAGTCCCTTATTTTTGAGGGGAAAAGCCTGCACCTGTTGGAACTTCTACATTGGACATGAGGCTCCTACTGCTGCCTGCTTCCTCTCTTCCACCGCCTTTTTATAGAGCTACCTGAGTCTAAATTCATCCTTCAGGGATGACTTCAGAAAGTGAAGTCCTTCACCACTATTTGCACAATTTACATTGCAAATTGGGACTTTGCAAGAAAGATTGCAGCCCAACATTCGCAATTAGATGTGCTGCAATCTTTCATGCAAAACCTCTACCTTTTCAAGGTGGAGTTGTGCGAGTGAACCCAATGCTTGCATTCTACTGTAACTAATTTCAGTATAAAACATATGGGTCTGAACAGTGAATTACAACTTTTGGTAGTTGTTGCAGACGTTGCATTTTCAGTGGAAATCACTTTTTCATGAGTTGGACTGATTTATCAGATGGCTTAGCATGTTTGACTGCTAAAACTCAGAGTTAAGGTTACACTGAATCTGCTAATTGTGAGGTGTTATGTTGGAGAATGTTCTCTACGCCCGTCATATATGGATGTATTTAGCTGATCTGTCTTCTGTGCAAAAGGCTAAAGCAGGGATGAATCAAATTGCACAAAATGATGCATTGACATCATGTGAACCAGTTAGCCTGACTCAAAATTTGCTCAGTGGAAAAAGGGGTTCCCATTTAATGCTCTACATCAGTGTTTCTCAACCTTGACAATTTTAAGGCATGTGGACTTCAACTCCCAGAATTCCACAGCCAGCATTCTGGGAGTTAAAGTCCACATGCCTTAAAATTGTCAAGGTTGAGAAACACTGCTCTACATGGAGCTGCCCTTGAAAAGTATCTGGAAGCTCCAATTAAGCACAGACTCTGCTAGAATTCTCTGAAGATGGACTCCCAGCACAAATCTGAAAGTTTGGACAACAAAAACTCTGGTCTCAGTAACAGACCCAGATTGGATCCTGCAACATTATCCTGGGACACATATGTTCGCTTTCATCCATGAAGCTTCAATTGGTTCAAAATGTGGCAGCCTGCGTGGTTTTGTGCAAATCTATAGTTGGACATGTGTCACTTCTCCTGTGGGAGCTGCATTGACTGCAAATTTGCTTCCAGGTTCAATTCAAGGTGCTAGTTGTCAACTTTAAAGCCCTTCATAGCTTGGGACCAGGTTATTTGAAGGATTATGTTTTCCCGGTTACATCTATCACCAGAGAAGGGATGCTGAGGATGTTACGGGTCCCCTGTCTTAGTGGAGCCAAAAATAAGGGCCTTTTCTGTGGTGACTCCCTCCCTGTGGAACATCATCGCTGTGGAAATAAGATTGGCCCCCACTTTGACACTCTTTTAAAAGGCCCTGAAGATATGGTTTTGCCTGGGACTCAGAGTAATATGGAGCCGATCAAGTGACTGGTTTGATTGTTGTCGTCAGGGGTTGGAGTTTATTAGGTTTTTATTGGGGTTTTACTTCTGTAAACTGTACAGAAACACTGAGCATTGGGCGGCCAAATATATTTTCCAAATAACCAAATAAACTTCTTTTATAGGTTCAAACAGTGGCACAGCAAGTAGCAGAGGACAAATTTGTGTTTAACTTGCCCGACTATGAGAATATCAATCACGTGGTGGTCTTTATGCTGGGGACTGTACCCTTTCCAGAGGGTATGGGCGGATCAGTCTACTTTTGCTATCCTGATGAGAATGGTGTACCCGTGTGGCAGCTCCTTGGATTTGTCACAAATGAAAAACCAAGTGCCATCTTTAAAATATCTGGTCTAAAATCTGGTAAGAGAGGGGCATACAAGAATTGGACCCTATGTATATAAGTGTGTGTTACTACAGGGCAAAGATGGGTAGTCTGCATTTTTGCAGATTCCTGAAGTCCCCCCCCCCAGGATTGTTCCTGCCCCCAAACTTCAGAACTTAGAGCTATTTAGTAATAGTAGTAAAGTTGGAAGGGACCTTGGAGGTCATCTAGTCCAACCCCCTGCTCAGGCAGGAAACCCTACACCATTTCGGACAAATGGCTGTCCAGTCTCTTCTTAAAAACAGATGTGCCTCCAATAGAACTAACAGTCTATTTGGCCAGGAAACATTGGAAGCCAGTTTGGTGTAATAGCTAAGGTGTTGGCATAGAAACCATGAGACTGAGTTTTAGTTCACCTTAGGCCTGAAAGCCAGCTATTGTAGGTGACTTAGCCAATCACCAGGAGACCGTGAGTTCACAATCGAGGCCAAAATTTATGTTGCTATGCGAGACATTTGTTAAGTGAATTTCGCCCCCATTATTGCATGATCCCAGGACACTGCAACCATCATAAATATGAGTCAATTGCCACGTGTCTAAATTTTGATCATGTGACCATGGGGATACTACCACAGTTGTGTGAAAAATG